AAGTTAAAAATAATTAAAATTCACACATCATACAAAAATGTATAAGGCAACTCTTGTTTTTTAATCATTAAAAATATTTTCATATGAACTGCTTGGCTATAATCTGGGCTACTTTAGTGAAAATGAATAGCAAAACAGCATTCAAAGCTTTTTCCATTTTTCTTGTCAACAAATGATATTCTAAGTTGTTTGCTTCCTTCTGCAAGTTCATTCATTCTCTGTGATCTCTTTATTTTCCCTGTAATTTCCCCAGACTCTACTTACATTGTAACTGAAAACAACATATTAATAGCTTATTTTCATTGATTAAGGATTTTTTCTGATGTAAATTCCTTTTTGCCTCTTTGATAGGTCAGAGTACAGAATTGGTGAGCACAGAGGAAAGCATTGCAAAGAAATTCCAAGTTATACTACTATATCGATGAAGTTACTAGCAGAAGGTATAGTACACTGCCAAATAAATTATTTCAGAATAAAGCTTTATTTATCCAACTGTGGATGAGTGTAAGAGAGGTATTTCTGGACCAATCCAAGAATTTCAAAAGCTGGAAATGCGTGTATCAGAAAGCAATGTGATATTTTAAACCATATGTGGACAGAAAAATAAACTTGACTAATCTCTGAATTTAGACCTATTTAAAGTAAGACTCTTAATTTAGCTTATCAATTAAAATTACGGTGTCAGAAATTACAGTATTATTAAATTACTAAATTATTACTAAATTTAAATTATTAAATTAAATTAAATTTTAAAATACAGTATTAGAAAACACACTTATTGACACAGCAGAGTCCTAGATTGCCGAAGGTTTATCTCAGATAGCCTGAAGTCATCACACCAATGAAAAGATGTAGCTTCTCTCCTGACTCAATGCATGGCCTTCTCTGAAGATGAACTTGAGGTCGAGGACAAGTTGTAAAGGCAGACGCAAACTGTCCAACCTAACTGTCCTTCCTGCAGAAGACTGCTGAGATCACCTCTTGGAATCTGGTTTTGAAACACTGCTGAATCTGACTGCACTGCAAGCATCTGTATTAATTTACAACCGGATTTCACAATGTTTACATCTAACTTGGTATCCAAAGACACTGAAGCTACGTAGTACAGTTGTATGAGAATATACATGTATTACACTTAGAAATTTAATTCTTCCTGTTGAGTCACTGTACTAACTAAACTATAAACATTTACATGTAAAACAAACTCAGAGTGCACCCTTATGTGACCCCTGAAATTAAAGGCAATGTAAGTTACTTACAGATCTGAAAGTATTTTTACTTCCTTTGCAAATACTAACAAAATAAAAAAAAATATTGTACAATTAAAAAATTGTATCCCACATAAATAGCATATATTTTCCTATATTAATTTTTGACTTTGTCCTAAACACAGGTGTTGCATTCATGAAATCATGAAACTGATACTAACATAAGCTGTTATCTCCTTGCGTATTAGACACCCTAATAAATTTAAGAGTTTCTTTTTAAAATAAGTAGCGATGGATAGTGTCATTTTATTTTCTAACCAGACAGCTTTCTAAAGCAGAATAACTTATTTTTAAAGGGTTATATTTAGGAGAAAAACAAAAATAATTTAACTGTGCATGTATGTGAACACATAAACCATACATATGAGTCCCTTGCCACCTCCATTGTCCTTAAAGTCAGCTTAGTGGCTGGCACTATAGATCAAAAAGTTAGTCAAAGAAAACCGTGGAACAAGAAGTCAGAATGTTGTGACTTCACGTTCTTCAAGATTGCATCAAATGTTCTTTTTAAATTAAAGCTTATATAAGACTTCGGAAATGTAGGGCTGCTCTCATCTGCAAGCTCAGAGAGGGAATCAGCTAGAATCAGGTCCTAGATAACAAAGCCTATAATTTAAAGTTGGTAAACAGCTAAAGCCTTGAAGAACAAAGGAAAATCAGAAAACAGGGTTTGTGCTTGTATTGTGCAATATATGTAAGTATGTTTATTTCATATGTGCAGTACCCATTTCATAGCTGAGACATCCAGATATTAAACTGGTCCTATAGGACATTCTAAAATTGTTCCCTTCATTGCCATATACAAATATCTGGACTACCTAACGAAGATAGTCTAGGCAACAGTAAGATGCTTTGGTGGGATACAGCCTTGTCCAAATGTAATTCAAGCAATCTTTTTCAAAAATCATGGTGTCTTCATTAAGTAATAGCTTAAAATTAGCTTATTAAACTACACAACGTGCTTAAGGAAAAAAAAAAAACAACACATATACTTCACTTTTACCAAACAAACCTTATTTTGCCATTATTTTAATTTTAATTTTTCACACAGATTATTTCTCCAAATGGATATTGCCCAATGTGAAGGAACGGTCAAAGAAGTGCATGTCTCAAATACCCCTGAAAATTTAGCTCCATGGCTGACTGTCTCTTTTTGCAAACCCCTCTAGGAAGAAAAAAAAAAAATAAAGACATGCCTTTTGGCTTAACCTAATAAACGCTTCATGTGAAACGGCTTCCAACCAGACAGGTATAGCCAACCTACTTGCAAAAGGCTGGTAGTGGTAGGGGATCTGAACATACTAATGCAGATGGAAACACACTGGTTCTTCCTTAACATTGCAATATTAAACAATATCAATATTACCAAGTTCCAATACTATGACAGTATTGCAATATAAATCTTATGCCTCATTCCGTATTGCTTTGTATTACTTGGTCCATTTCTTTCTGTAATTGAATATCTTATGTCTTAGCCAACACATTTCAGACCTATCCCTGAACTTGGAGTATTGTAAGCCCTGTAATTATTGCATTACATAATCACAGAATTGTCTAGGTTGGAAGAGACCTCAAGATCGAGTTCAACCTCCAACCTAACACTAACAAGTCCTCCACTAAACCATATCGCTAAGTTCAACATCTAAATGTCTTTTAAAGACCTCCAGGGATGGTGACTCCACCGCTTCCCTGGGCAGCCTGTTCCAGTGTCTAACAACCCTTTCGGTAAAGAAGTTCTTCCTAACATCTAACCTAAAACTCCCCTGGCGCAACTTAAGCCCATTCCCCCTCATCCTGTCACCAGGCGCGTGGGAGAACAGGCCAACCCCCACCTCACCACAGCCTCCTTTAATGTACTTATAAAGAGCTGATCAGTCGCCCCTGAGCCTCCTTTTCTCCAGGCTGAACAAGCCCAGCTCCCTCAGCCGCTCCTTGTAAGACTTGTTCTCCAGACCCCTCACCAGCTTCGTCGCCCTTCTCTGGACTCGCTCAAGCACCTCGATGTCCTTCTTGAAGCGAGGGGCCCAAAACTGAACACAGTACTCCAGGTGCGGCCTCACCAGAGCCAAGTACAGGGGTACAATCACTTCCCTAAACCTGCTGGCCACACTGCTTCTTATGCAAGCCAGGATGCTGTTGGCCTTCTTGGCCACCTGAGCACACTGCTGGCTCATATTCAGCTGACTATCCACCATCACTCCCAGGTCCTTCCCTGCCTGGCAGCTTTCCAACCACTCATCTCCCAGCCTGTAGCTCTGCTTGGGGTTGTTGTGCCCCAGATGCAGGACCCGGCACTTGGCCTTGTTGAACTTCATGCAGTTGGCCTCAGCCCATTGGTGCAGCCTATCCAGATCCTCCTGCAGAGCCTTCCTACCCTCGAGCAGATCGACACACGCACCTTGGTGTCATCTGCAAACTTACTGAGGGTGCACTCGATCCCCTTATCTAGATCATTGATAAAGATATTAAAGAGGACTGGCCCCAGTACCGAGCCCTAGGGAATGCCACTAGTGACTGGCCTCCAACTGGATTTGACTCCATTCACCACAACTCTTTGGGCCTGGCTATCCAGCCAGTTTCTAACCCAATAAAGCGTACGCCAGTCCAAGCCACAAGCAGCCAGTTTCTTGAGGAGAATGCTGTGGGAATCAGTGTCAAAAGCCTTACTGAAGTCAAGGTAGACCACATCCACAGCTTTTCCCTCATCCACCAAGCGCTTCACTTTGTCATAGAAGGAGATCAGGTTCGTCAAGCAGGACCTGCCTTCCATAAACCCATGCTGACTGGGCCTGATCACCTGGCTACAGTGCTGCATGAAGACACTCAAGATAATCTGCTCCATGAGCTTCCCTGGCACTGAGGTCAAAATGACAGGCCTATAGTTCCCCGGGTCTACCCTCCAGCCCTTCTTGTAGATGAGCATCACGTTTGCTAGCTGCCAGTCGACTGGGACCTCAACATTCTGACAATATGGAAAGGATAAAGTCAAAATTAGCCTCTGTTTCCTTCACCTAGCCTGTCTCACCGGAGTGCCAGGGAAGGCTGGGGTGGGAAACTACTGAAGAGCACCTGTCTTCTACTGTAACGAAATCTGAGGATGGGGTCTCAGCACGTCTTGTGCAGCAAGCATCCTTACAGGGGGATATCCAAAGTGACAGCACATGAACTGCAGAATAGCATTGTAGTGAGGAAAGAGAGAGGTCACCTTCACTCCATGACTTATTATTTAAACACACACGTACTGGAAAGCACACGGCCTTGAGAGAAGCAGCCCAGTTTTCAATCTTTGTAAAAATGTCAACTTGAAAAACTAAACTCAGAAACAAAAACAAAAAACAGAACTCTAAGCCTTTAGGTCCAGAGACATCTTTCAGTGGATGATTTCAAGGAAAACAAGTTACTTGATCCAACCTCCTTAATAACCAGATGTTTGCAATCATCAAAAATACATCTTTAGCTGAAACAATTTCCCTGTTCCAAAGCATTTAGTCTCTAAGAGCATTTACATAACAATATGTGACACCTCAAATGCTTAAGGCCACCAACCATGGCAGTATAAATTACAGTCATTTTTCAATACATTGTGCAAGGTGCACCACTTACAGTACTTGGATTGGTTGCATGCTATGTTGGTTTCTGCAGTGAGACACAGTCAGCATGCACCACCAGCTAAACATAGTTTGCAGCCTTTGGAGATTCATGGTAATAGGTAAAAGAAGCTGATCTCCTTACCCGCCATAGGCTGGAATTGGAGGAGGGGGTGCTGCTGCACGAAACGTATTGTACACTGTGCGACCTCGGCCTCTTAGATGTGCACCTCTATAAGCAGCAGCTGCCGTTGCAGCTGGGTAGGGAAATCCTGGCACTGTGAAGAGAAGGAGAGGAAAATAAAATATTCAGTTCAATCTGGTGTTTGAAAACTACGCAAAATACTGGTAATGTAGCAGCATAGTTGTGCTTATATTAAAGCATGGCCCATAACTAGATGAGGGCATTGTTGGATAACTAAATTATTAGTCTTTTACCAAGAGGCCTCATCTTCTAACAAAAAATCTTTTTATGCAATTAGGAGATGGCAAACTGGGAATTTATATAGCAGTATCACAAAAAGACACTCATTATTAAAAACAATGCTGTCTGTTGTAGCTGATGCTGCTAAAAGGAGACTTTTGAGGCCAAAACCACCCAGCTCAGACTCAAATTTATAGTACCAGAGAACTCTCCATCACATTATTGGATTTATCTGCAAAGTTTGCCATGCTTTGAGTGGGTGTGTGATGTTGGACCCAGTGACCTCCAAAAGACCGTTTCAATATAAATTATTCAGTGAGGAGCTTCATTTTTGTTCAGAAAGTTGATTATTATTAGGTTTGAAGTTTGTTTCAACTGAAAAAAAAGGTAGACCAAGAGCTTTCTCAGAATTTGAGGGTATATCCTGTTCATAATAGTACCTGTTATTTCTTCAAAGGCAAGAGTTACATAGTTTGGAAATATCTATATGAATTCAGATCATATTAAGAGCCAATAGAAACAATTTAGACATATAAAGAAGAAATAAAATCATAGTTTTATATTGTCATTGCAAGTAAATGTAATCATTAATACCATTCCATGTGAAACAAAATAAGTTCATCAGAAACTGAACAGTAATATAGTACTACACAGATTTTTTTTTCTTCAGTAAAATATTTGGAAAAGTTTTCACATTTTAATTAAAAAAAAAGAAAAAGAAAAAATGAAACTTTCTACCTTACTTTCTCTGCCAGTTTTTTAAACAATGCTTCATTATTCATTTCTCTTTTGGACATACATTGTTGGCCAGTGTTTGAACAGGTATTTTTGGAACTACTTCATCAGTGAGATACAGAAAATTAAATCCTGCTCTGGTGACACTCTGGTTACTTTAGTTGTGCTCCACTGTATTGAATTATGTAAATTAAGCATGTAAACAGATAAATAAAGAATGCTTAGTAATGCCCTAATAAAGGAAAAAGAAATGGAAGAAATTATGTACAAGCTCTTCAAGTCTGAAATTTGACTTCAATCCAAAGTTGTGTTTCATCTGTTTTAGAATTAAATTTTAAAAGTAGCCTTAAATATGAAATAAAATAGAAAATTATCAACTTATAGATATTGCTGGCTGAACACATGAAGGAAAATACTGCAATTATGGTGACTTCATTACAGCCTTACAATTGTTTCTAGGCCCCTCTAACTGAAGAGTCTGGCCAGGAAAACATGTCTGAAATGGTAGATATCTTAAATTATAAGCCTGAAGGTTATTCTGTAGCTAGATTTCATAAATGTAGTCTTAGGGACACTCCTGAACTACCAAGAATAAGAGAAATTTCTCTGACCTAAATGACACTGACAAAAAAAAAATAAAATAACGAAGTCTAAAAACCTTTGAGCAGTTTGGACAACTTCTTCACTTACATGTACATCTGTATTTTTCTACATACTGATAGAAAAGAGTTTTCTATGAAAAACAGAAACAGTAATAAAGAATAACAAACCAACTAAAAAAAAAAAGTCTAAACTAAAGTTATCTAATGTATCTAACAACACAATGGGTTTACAATCCATAATCTAGGAACCCCCATTCAAAGATCTGCTTCAGCAATTAATTAGTAGATACATCTATGTTTGGCAATATTTAAGGCAAGGAAGTAGTCAACACTCTTTCAGTGAAACACTCAGGGTCCTAGACAATCTTTCTTCTGTAAGATGTACTGTTTGAAAATAATTCACCAATTCCTTCATACAGCTCATACCCTAGACATGTGTATGAATAATGGAAGAAAGGAGTAACTGTAGCTCTAAGAAAATTCCAACTGGAATTGTGCAGAAATTATATGGCAGACACTGACGATATGTCTGCATGAATTCCTAGTGTGTTTTGTTTTGTTTTCCTTTTAATTGTACCATTCAGTATAACTTTAACACAGATGGTTTGAAGTATATATTTTGCAGTAATTGAACATTTACCCTAAATACTCTCTTCATCATGGTAGCCAAACCTTGGCAAAAATTACGGATCTTTGGCAGTGAACAAAGAAATATCAGTGCAAAAGCAGAGCACCTCAATCAATGAATGAATATGAATGAACAGAAAATATTAAAAAAAATAATACTATTTTATTATTATTACATATGCATATATATATATAAAATGAGAAATAAGTCTTTCTCTTTGCATGTGATTTTTCTTATGAAAGAAGAGAAAAAGCTAGAAGAAATTCAGGAAGAGTCACTTAGCCCCCAAATGTTTATCAAATCCAGAACCTACATGTATAATGGAGGCCAAACCCAGCATTCATGGGAGATGGTAAGATAAGGCAGGGATTTCTGACATTTTTAAAGGATCTCTATATTTTCTGATGTGTTAGAATGCAAAGCCTTAAGTTATTTCATTGTTTTGTTATGCTCACCTTGTGTTGCCTCCTTAAGAATATCATGAAGCATAAAATATCTATAGTAAAGCAAAACCCTAGGAAATCTTACAGAAGCATTTAGAAGTTAGAATAATGGTTTGGAGTTCTGTAAAGAAGACAAGACATAATGGAAGATAAGCCTGAGAAATATGGAACTAAGAATGACACTGCATGGTCCTGTGAGAATGTAAGCTCATATATGCACTAGAATTATATCCACTCTCCCAAAAAATGATGGGTCAGCCAGAAAAACAGAGTATGTGAAAACATGCCTTCTAATTGCAGGTAGTATTATTAAAGATTATAATTATTGCCAGAGGTATAATAATTGGCAAGATCATGTCATTCTACATTCAAGTTCAACAAAAAAATTATGCTATTCATCCCAACTGAGAAATCATGTGATTAGGAGTATGCAATAATCACAGAATTTATTTTGCTACCAACTTTTTAATATCCTTACCCCCAAAATAACCAGAAGTAATGCCACTAGAACACAATTGAATAATGGACTTAATAAAAACAATTTTATGAAAAGAGATCTCCCATCAGGAAGCATTAAGTAATATCAACCAGCCCCAGAAGCAATGAATATACTAGCCAGGAAGGGTAAACATTTAATGACTCAAAGTTTGAAGGTCAACCTTCCTTAGTGCCTTAACTACTGAAACTAAGTCAGTGAAAATTCTATTATAACGGCACTGAAAATGTGTTCAACTCTCAGCTGGGAAACATCCTACTCCACTTCTTAACAGAAGTACCTTAAATTTATCAATGTAATTTGATAACTAGAATTCTGACCTGTAATAGGGAAAAGGCAAATTTTGCCAACTACATATCACTGGTGATAATAATGAGGTTAAATGCAAAGACAGAAGTTTCTAAGGACTGCATGAGGGAAAGATCCCTTTCATCCCAATCATATTTGTGTTCACAGATGAAATTTAATTATATCTGAATTTCTCCCCAAAGATATCATATATAAGCATTGCTTTTATTCATTTTTTATTAAATGAACATGACAGGTGGTGGATTTTCTAGACACCACATCTCAATATATGCCTTGGAAAACAAAGACTGTCTGAACACTGACAAAGCTTGAGCTCCAAAAAGGGGGAACACATCCTGATTAAAAAAATACTTAGGGGTTATACACTTTAAAGTTTTAAAGCCCTGAGATAAATGGAAGAGTAGCAGATGTAAAAAACAACAGGGGGCAGATTTTGTATCAAAGCCATAAAAATATACAGCCATTTTAATGGGCAATTATTCTTTGAATTTTTGCTGTGGTTTGAATTTGTATGAGCGTGCCATATGCCTCAAGAAAGGTGTGCCATCAAAATGGATGAATGAATCTACCTCTCATCACTCCTAATCTCAGTACAAACTATCAGGTCATCTGCTATCAAGAGTTTTCTAATGTTTAATCTTGAAGAATTTTAATGCTATATTGTGTTGAAATCAGTTTAGAGCTAATTTACTGCAGAGTAGTTTAACTGTTAGAAATGCAGGAAGACACACAAGTATTACTCCCATAGTTTAGGAGGATCCCTGTTGAGGAAATGTTTCAGAAGTGCTGGACAATAAATTAAGAACAAAGAGGTATAATAGGTAACATGCTGAGGAAGGCTAAGCAGAATAATCTATATCATATTATCTGATATTTCTGAAACAGAAATATCATGAATTTATCCTGATGTATGCTCTGTAGTGAGTTTTCACTTGACCTTAACAGCAATATGTAATATAACCTGTCATTGTTTAAAAGAGTTATAAAAACTGTTCTAAAGACAATGTATGCAGACCTTTACATTTAAATAAAAATTACCGTGCAAGTAAAAGCTCCATTACTACAGCTTTTAAAATAAAAGGATTTAAAAAATGAATATATGTCTTTAAAGTGTGAAAAGCTCTAACAAACTAAAAAAAAACAAAAAACAATTCACCTGTCCTTTTTGTGAGATGATTATCCCTGGGATCCAATTGTGAATTAACTGAACTCAAAGGAAATTTGCCATGTATGTCAAATATAGGCACGACTGGTCCCTTCTATTTCTTTAATTCAAAATAGAAACAATATATTTATTTATAAAACAAAAATAGTGGAACAATGATTTCCTTACCATTGTACAGAAATACATGTCAATATTAAATACTGTTGTTTAGGAAAGAATAAATCTGGATTTTGGACAAACAATTTCTTATAGGATGTTCTCATTTGAAATGCATTGAAATGGAAAACAAAAATCTCTAATTAATGTACAAGTCTAATCACCATTCTCCACATGGAAGAGTAATTTTTCACTGTTCATTTGCTCAGTGTAATCTCAAAACTGACATAACAGAAAAGCAATGGCCTATAAATCTGCTCTCATTTGTTTCTTTAATATTCATATTCCATTGAACTACAGCTGCTTGTTGCTGCAGTCTA